ATAAAAGGGAGCTCTACCAAGCCAACAGCAGAACCTCCTGAGGCTCTCTGCTTTCATAAGAGGAAACAGAAGAGAATAAAAAGAGCAAAGACAAACTTACAAAGTCCAGAATTGTCAAAACAAAAAAAAGTGACAGCATGAAGGGGGAGTGAAAACCCAGCAAAAGGGAAAAGCAGAGCAGAATAGGCAGAGATGTCTGTGTCAGTAAAGAACGGACACCGCCTACCCACAACCAGAGTATGGGCTTTCGTCAACACAATGACATGGGAAACATCCAGACCTTCCGAGAAAGGGAAGCTGCTGAAGACAGGATGAAAGTAAAGACAAGCACAAGGACACTGCCAGAGATAATGCAGTTGACTAGGAGGTTGATGGCGAAACCTGGATTACTACTACATGTGATAAGGGATGATAAAAGGAAATTCTACAGATCTGGGTGCTCCCACACGTCTGACCACATTAAAACTAGCAAACCTTCTAAGAAGCTGACACACCACTTCTTTCGGGGCATCATTAACTTTGGAATTCGCGGTCATATGTAGCACAAAGGCTTAAGACATCCACAAAGACAGGCAAGGAGAATGGGAACACAACATTTTAGCCTTTTCCAGGAAACCCTCAGCACCAGTTCAGCTACTACACCAATCAGGTCATGTCAACTCCTACATTCAATGAGCTAAAGGCATCACAGATGCACACAACTCAACACAGAGCCAAGCGCTTAGACAGAAGCATGTTCCAAACCTGATTCCCCTCTTTGAAGCTAAGTCCAAAGTCAATGAGCTTAAAGCACTCCTCCTCTGCGCTCCACAGGATGTTGCGTGGCTTGAGGTCTGCGTGCACGTAGCCTTTGTGGTGCAGGAAAGCCAGGGCTTCGAGAACATCTCGGGCGCAGTGCTGGATCATCCACATGGAGCAGCCCTGGTTGCTGGAGTGCAGCAGCAGCTCGGACACACTGATGTCCAGCAGCTCCAGCAGGAGACAGCGAGATGGGCCATTTGCAGAGTAGTGGTTGGTGAACACGCCGTACAGTGTCACTACAGTCAGACACAGTGACTGGCATTGGTAACAAGCAATTAAACAGTCACATTCCACCCCTGCCCAGATCACCACAAAAGCTGCAGGAAGCAGTGTGATGTTCAGAGAGATGTAGAACCAGACTTCAGAGGGAGGCAGCAAGGGAAAACCAGTCATGTCACCCCTAAGGGCTTTGGAGGACAGGCCATGAGGCTCTGCTAAAGCGTCAGGGCCAAGTGCTCAGAAGATCAAACTGCGACATGGATAAGCATGTCCCGGTGAGTAAAATGGAGGCAGTACCACTCTTTTTGGGACATGTCAATCTCTTCCTGCAACAAACCTAGCACAATAGGAACCTAAACTCTGTCTGGGTGTCTAGGTATGTTACAGCATTAAAAAGCATATCACACTGAGAAAAAGAATCAGTGGTGGGTGAACCTGGGGACTTCCAGCAGATGCCTCTGATGTGGAGACTTTCTCCTTTGCCAGGCCCTTTCCTACCCATACAGCAGCCAGAGCCGGCAGGCAGATAGCACCCCACCACTGTCGGGCAGGCAGCCCTGCCCAAAGTGGGACACTGGGGTGCTCTGCCTGCGGGACCTACTCTGCCTACACACAGGGTGACACCATCTCCTGCCTGCTCCGGGGAGGTCACCCACAGGCCCCAGCTCAGGGAAAGGGGGTTACCCAGGAGCATGCACCAAGAAACACCCACCGTAAGGATGCTGCTTTGGGGTGTCCAGGCGAGGGGCACTCAAACCTGCACACCCAGGGGTGTCAACCCAAGGGGGACATTGGTTTGGGGGTCCCTAGCCCTACCTGTGGGGGCCAGCTTGGGGGCGAGGGCTCTCATATTCCCAATGGGGCTGGGGGTGGTTTGGGGACCTCAGTTTGCCCTGGGGGAGACTGTCTGGGGGGCGCTCCGGGAACAGAGGGTGCCCACGGGGGTGCCCTGAGAAAGGGGTTTGGGGAGGAGGTACCGGGGGTGCCGTTACCGATGTTGCGGTGCCCGCGGAGGTGCTCGAGCGCAGCGCGCTCCTTGCGGAAGCCGTACTCGGCGCAGTCGGCGGCGGGCGGGCGGGCGCCAGGGCGGCGCGCTGGGCCGGGCCGCGGCGGGGGGGGTACGAACTCCTTGACGGCGCCCGGGGGGGCCCGCGGGTCTCCGCAGCAGCGCACCCGGTAGACGGAGGCCGAGGAGCCGCTGCCCAGCGGCGCCTGCACCTCCCAGAGCCGGCCCAGCGCCTCCAGCAGCGGCGCCGCGCCCCACACGCACCCCGACATGGCGCGGTCCCGCCTCACATCGCCCCCCCGCCGCTCCCGCTGCCCCACCGCTGCCGCGCTATCGCCACCGACCCCGGCACCAGCCGCCGCCGCGTTCCGGCCGCCATGACACCGGAAACGGGGCGGGGACACCGGGCGGGGCCGCCACCGACCCGCCTTTGCCGGGGCGGAGTTGACGCGGGGCTGCGGTCCCGAGTCCGATCCCGCCAGAGCCGGGCACGGCAGGGCAGCCGTGTCACCGGTCAGCCCCGGCACCGGCAAACCGACTCAGCGTCCCCCGGGTCCCCCATGGCCGTGCCGCTGGGCCTGGCTCCCGGGGTGGGGGTGCCCTTTGCAGGTGTCAGGCCTCTGGCAGCACTTTATGGGGGTATTGACAGAACTGAACGTAAGCCAGCTTGTGCCCAGGCAGCCAAGAAAGCCGGCGGCGTCCTGGCCTGTATCAGCAACAGTGTGGCCAGCAGGACTGGGGAAGCGACCATCCCCCGTACTTGGTGTTGGTGAGGCCATATCTCGAACACAGTTCTGGGCCCCTCATTAAAAGACAGACATTAAGGTGCTGGAGCAGGTCCAGAGAAGGGCAATGAAGCTGGTGAAGGGTCTGGAGAACAAGCGTGATGAGGAGCGGCTGAGAGAACTGGGGTTGTTTAGTCTGGAGACGAGAAGGCTCGGGGGGGGGGGCTTACTGCTTTCTACAACTACTGAAAGGAGGTTGTAGCAAGGTGGGGGTCGGTCTCTCCCCTCAAGTAACAAGTGACAGGACAAGAGGCAGTGGCCTCAAGCTGCACGAGGGGAGGCTTAGATTGGCTATTAGGAAAGATTTCTTCACAGAGAGGGTGATCAGGCATTGGAACAGGCTGCCTAGGGAAGTGGTGGAGTCACTCCCTGGGAGTGTTAGTGTTCAAAACCGTGTAGATGAGGCTCTCAGTGACATGTTTTAGTGATGGTCTTGGCAGTCCTGGGGTAGAAGTTGGACTTGATCTTAAAGGTCTTTTCCAACCTAATCGATTCTGTGATTTCCCCTAAACCACATGGCTTGAAGTAGGGCGGATCTCACTGTCCTGTGCCATCACTCCAGCTTTCCCTGGTGGCTTTCCCCAGCACCCCTCAGCATCAGAAGGCTGCTGGAGCTGCTGCCCCACTCTTTGGCTTTGCAGCCCCCATGCGGGAGCATCTATCATGTCCCCAGGCTCATCAGGAGGCTTCAGGGCTATAGCACAATGTGGTCTCCTCCCATCAAAGGGTTGCTATGTGTCAGTGGGTAAAAAACAAAGAAAATTTATTGTGCAATCTGCATCTTTTTTCCCAAACTACACAGACACACTACACAAATTAAATAGAAGGACTGGACCAGCAGTGAGGTTCCCTTGTGATTGGCAGGGTCGGAAGATGCTGGTTCTTCAAAGAAGAGCTACAAGCCCTTTTTTCCATCTACATAAACAATGCAGTGTAGACCTAGGCAGCATACATATATACATACTCACATAGATTTCTGTTTGTGGGGTGGAATCAGCCACGCACAGTGTAATCGCATTGTACACAGGGTGTGTTATACCTTAGCGCTGGCCACAGGCTCTGTACGTCTCTGATATCTCCTTCATCTCCAGCAGGGCCTTCCCAGGGGACGAAAGCTGCAGAGCCCCAGTGCTGCTACAGCATCCACCATACCAACAGGCATGATGGCTGCTCCCAAAACGAAGGGATTCATGCTCACGGCCTCCATCCTTCAGAAGGACCACATCATGGCTTTGGGTGGTGGAAGACATTTCTTCAGCCCAACCGTCCTGCATGGTACCAGAGGAGCTGTGAGCAGAGGTGCCTCATCCATGACCACATACAAATGTGGTCTTGGGAGCTTTTCTTCTCAAAACCACCTTTGTGGTGAGGGTGAACATAAAAGGTCTAAGCAAAAACTGCCATCTCACAGCTGGTTCCTTGCATCAGCCCATGGATCCATGGGCTGTAATTCATGGGGAAACAATCATATAGCAGTATTGGAGGACCATATGGCTTCCTGTGTCCCAATTTCACAAAGACATCACCATGCCAACAAATAAAGAAGAATGGTGCCACTGGCCCACACAGTGTGCTGCCTGCCTGGGCAGGTCAGCCCTTTCCATGGTGGCTGGGGCGAGACCAGGAAACAAGCAGGAGCTAGAGGTGGGTCTCACAGGGAGGCTCAGCTCTCAGCCAGAGCGTAGTGGCCATCAGCCATGCAGCCCCAGGTCACCAGCCCTGCTCCCCACCAAAACTCACTCTGAGTGGGTTCCCCAAAACTGGGGCTCAGGTGCAGAGAGATGATGCTGGGCAGAACAATGCTACAGGGTTGGCACCTGGAGAAGGTGCCATCCTTGCTCACTGGCACTAGACTCCACGTGCAAGCCAGCCCACTAGCACCCTGGGACAGGGTATCTCAGCAAGCATATGGCATAAGCTGGGAAATCTTCCTGACCAGGGAAGCCAGCACAGTGTGGAACACTTGCCCGGGCAGAGAGGACAGGGTTGGGGGCAGGCTGGTGCTTGTGCACCCATGCACAAGCACCCAGGCTGCTGAGTGACCCCAACCCTTGGTCCCCAGCCCAGCATGGTTCCTGGCTACAGACAGGATGGAAGCACTGTGGCAGGATGTGAGCTTTGCACAGACCACAGCAAATAAACCCAGGATGGGGCTGCAGAAGCCATAGTAGGACAGGTTGTCCTGGAAAGAAGTGGGATGTTCTAGCTCCCCACACTGGGGCAGCAGGGGCTCCTGACACCCTGGGGATTCCCCCTCTCCAAAACAATGCCCCCAAAGAGACACAGGGTCAGCATGTGGCAGAGACATGCTTAGGAGAGCCAGCCCCCACGGTGCCCCTGCTGTGGCTCCCCCACTGCTACTCAAATGACAGTAAGTCAGGATGGGGCCCCTCCACCTCCCAGCCAGAGGTACATGCCTCTGGCCGCCCTGTGCTCCCCAGTGGCTCATGATCCAGCCCTGGTCTCCGGGAGGACTTCTCTGTGCTGAGTGACTCTCCTGTTCGCCGCTGGCTCTCCAGGGTGCCCTTATGAATGAGGTCAGGCACAGGAAGAGCACCAGTGGGCTGGTCCCCACTGGGACCTGGGGTGCCCATCATGCTGGGGACCCCAGGGCATTCTAGAGGGGATGGGTCCCTCATCCCTGGCTGCTCCTCTGAGGGGTCAGGGTGGGCTGTGGGTGGTTCAGGGGACTCCTCCATGCTGCTCGTTGGGGTGGTCGCCACTGGCTGTGGAGCAATGAGCATGTCCTGAGGGGTCTTCAGGGCACGTGGTGTCCGCTTCTTGGTGACGGGGGGTGGGGGGTCTAGCCGGGGAAAAGCATCCAGCCCCACAGCCCTGCAAGCACAGAGAAGTCACATACAGCCCCATACTGAGGCCCCTCCAGCCTGTCCCAGATGGCCCCATCAAGGGAACACTCACCCCTCCTCGCTAGCTGGCTGTCCCATGCCCAGAACGGCACCAGCGCTGGCATTCACCTCCATCACTCCCACAACAGGGAGGCCACCTGGCTCCTTGCGGCGCAGGAAATCATTCACCTTGGCCCCCATGGCCTTGCCCAGGTTGCGGAGGTGCTGGCTGCCGGCGGGGCGGGAGGGCTGTGGCAGGGCTGCAGCAGGGCCCTGATGTGGCCGTGGGGTGGGTGCTGTGCTGGCACTGGCGTTCTCAAACATGCTCTGGTCCACTGGAGGGGGAAAGGGGACAGTGAGGGCTTGTGAGCCAGGCTGGAGAGAGGACTCCTGCAGGGGCAGCATGTCCCAGAGCTGCCACCAGCTCCCAACCCAGCAGCATGGGAGCAAATTCTGGGGGACAGGGAGGCTGCTTCTGAAGCCTCACAGAGGCTGTGGGCAGCCAGGCCATGCAGTGAGGATAGCATGGGGTGCGATGGGGTAGCAATGAGCCCAGGGCTCCACACCGGCACTGGCAACACACCAAGAGCATCTCTTACCTGACACTGAACAACTTGGGAAGCAGGTTGTGGAAAGAAAATTTACCATGGGGACAACAAGCTGGTCCCTTCTGCACTGCCAGGTGAGGTTTGCTGCTGACCCCTGCCCAGACCTGGCACGCTGCCTGCAGAGAAGGGACTCACAGGAAGCCCTTGTCAGCCAGGCACCTGCAGAGCAGCAAGGTGTTCCCTGGGGGGCACCCACAGCCTGGGCTCTGCACTGCCCACCCTTCTAGTCTTCTCTTCAGCCCAGGCTGTCTGTCCCCTTGTGCTGACCAAGCTCCTGAGATCCCAGGGCCTGAGCAGACTGCCCAGGAGCATCCTACAGTGCACTGTCCCTTTGTGACATCAGCTGGATTACAGCATGGGTACCGTGCTGCAGGAACTACACCATCACCAGCTACACAGGGTGATGGAGAGCTTTGGCCTGGCCCCCGTTTCTGTCAGGACTGTGCACTGTGACACCAGGACAAGAAGCCCGGAGGCCCCATGCCCCTGTGGCCCTGCCAGCCTATCAGGTGAGAAGGGTTGCATGCAGCCAGCACTGCATGTGGGGAGGGCCCCCCTTGTAGCTCCTGGGCATGGCCATGGCACTCATCAGTCTTTTCTGGCACAGCAAGGGCCTGTAGGAGGGGTTAGGCTGGGCATGTATTCCTGCACGGGTGGAGAAAGGGGACCAGCTGGCTCTGTGGCAGCGGGTGCTTTCTGGGGACCTGGTGGGGCTCTGTAGTTACACCCCTCCTCTGAACTACACTGGTGTCTCTGCCCCGTCTTCCCAGCAGGAATCTTCAAAGTTGTGGGTGCTGTCCTTGGAGTCACAGCTCAACCTCATGCATCACTGCCCCTGTGCCAGTGCAGCTCTCCATGGGAGGGCTCCAGTGAACTGCTAGATGAGCTTCGTGCAGTGCTGGTGCCTTGATGCCCACCACCACCCCTTGCCTGTATCTACCCCTGCATTCCATAGTGGGAGGGATGGTACCCTCCATGATGGAAATGACAGAAGCAGACACCTCTGACATCCCATGGAAACAGAGAGGAACAGTGGAGTGCCCAACATTACTCCCAACCCCGCAGGAGAGCAGGCTCTTACAGGGACCCCTGCCTCACTGCAGACCCTTTCCTCTACAGACTGTGACCCTGCAGCCCCACCAAGCAGCAAGCTCCCTGCCCACACCCGCACCATCTACCGGCCCTGGTTCTCACCCTACAGCTACTTCATGTGCACCAAAGGAGATACTCAGCAGCATCAGGACAGCCCCTTCTCCAGCCTTGCCACTGGCACCCAGGAGCATGAGGAACCTGATGACCTCCTGGAGATAGTCTGCTCCTTCTCTGACTCCTCAAATGAGGCTCAGGTACCGAAGACAGACAGGCTGCCCAGTAGCAGAGCCAGCATCACAGTCCAGGACATCCTTGCTGCTTCCCAGCAGCACCCAGTGTCCCAACATGGCTACCAGTGCGTATCATGCTGCTGCATGTTCCCCACGCTGTGGTCGATCAAGACCCACATCCAGAACAGCTCTCAGGAGGGCTACAGCTGTAAGGTATACTACCGCAGGCTCAAGGCCCTGTGGGAGAAGGAGCGCATGCTGCAGGAGACTGCGGCCTCCGCGGTGCTCATGTAGCCCCGCCAGCCGGGATGCCGCCGCGGGAGGGCACTGCTCCTTCGCTCTTGTCAGCGGCAGAATAAATCGTTTCAGGAGCAGCCAGCCCCGTCTGCCTGCTGCTCTTGACTATATAATCCTTTAAAAGACTTCCCGACTTTTCCTTCACCAGCAGCCAAAAATCTCCCATGCCCCTGAAAGCACTGCTTAGCATCTCAGCATCTCTGCATGGTGCTCTGCCGATGGCAGGAACCTCCTGGCATCCTCGAACTGCTGGGTCAGCCCTGGGATGAGCCTGTGCTGTGCAGTGGCTGAAAGGGAAGACTGAAACCCCTCTACTCCCAGCAGTGTTCAGGGCACCTCGCTCTCACCAGCAGCCGGTGGTTGGCACCACAAGCAAGAGTCCCACAGGGGAGGATGCTTAGTTTGGAGGTGTGCAAGGCCAAGGGATGTCACTGCTGGTGGTGGCTCCCAGCATGGAGAGGGAGAGAAGTACAGAAAGAGACAGAGTCAGTGAGAAGGAAGAGACAACAGGAAGCCTTGAGAAATAGAAAGATTTATTTAGCAAAAGCCAGTTGACTAATGATAACACCCAAGGGTTAAGTGCACTTACATTGCAGATTGGTCTCCCAGATAGACTGAGTCAACAGTTAGTAACACGACAGTTGTAGGAAAAGAAAGGACAAAAAATATAGCTTTAAATTCCCAGTTAAGGTCCATAGCAAAAGTGAGAGGCTAGAGAGCCATCTTGGAGGCAGCACTGACTTAGGAGGAGGATTGTTTACACACGTACACCAGTGGTGCGGCAGGATGCTGGCAGGGTCCCCAGCCAGCTCTGGCAGCACCCCATCAACCCATGGGGCACCCACCACCTTCTGCTGCGGGCAGAGTGCTGGGCAGGAGCCTTAGCCCTCAGCTGGTCCCAGTGCTCCTTGCAGGGCACTGCCTGGGCTACACCTGTGCAGCAGGGTTTGGCAGGAGCAGTGGCTCAGGGACAGAGCTCAGCCCTGCCTGCTTTCTAAGGCAGCGCAGCCTGGAAGAGACCTGCTGCTGCTCCTCCTGGGCTCTCCTTTCATCTGCCCTGTGCAAGTTCCTGCTGTCCCCCTCCTGCATGATCTGTCTGCCCACATGGAAATCCCTCTCTGAGCTCATCCATGCAACCCACACTATCTATACCATCTCCTGTGCTTGCTACCTTGCCCACCTCTTCCTCCTGGTGGGACCAGCCTCCCACCCCATGCTTTCACCTCCAGCTGCTGTGAGCTGGCAGTAGGATGTCAGGGTCCCCAGCAGAGGGGCTTGCACACAGCTGTACCCACAACGGTGCAGGACAGGGCATACAGAGATATTGGTGGCCAGAGGACAGGGGCAGCCCTGTCCCAGACAGCACCTACTCCTACTCTGCCACTGTGGCTGGTGCAGGGGCTCCCCTGGACACCAGGCCACTGCTGGGGACACCGAAACATCTTCCTTCCCACTAGGACTCTCTAGCTCCTCAGTGTCCAGCCTCCTCCTGTGGTGAAGGCTGCATAGCACAGTTTGTACCAACCCTGAGAGTCTCACCCATACCTCATTCCTTATTAGCCCTCAGTCCCAAGGGTACTGGGGCAGAAAGAAGTGATGGACCTTCCTCAGCAGCCAGGAGGAGAGCAAGAGCTCGTGTCTGGGAGATCCTCTACTAGGGGTTAGTTGCAGGCAGATCTAGCAGAGACAGAGCTGGTGAAGACAAAAGTAGCAAGGAAGCAACAAAGTGAAGCAGAAGCAGAATAGGAGAGTGGGTGGGGAGGAAGACAACCGTGCCAATCCCCACCTCATGGAGTGTTTCCACAAGGAGCAGGATGGACATTAGAACTCTGATTCATATCCCTTCAGCTGCATCCTCTTAGAGACTGCAGCAACAGACAACTGATAAATGTGCTTGCAGAAAAGAAACACACTCTGGATCCCTTGGAGGCAGCCAGGATGGCTCTCAGCCATGGGTGTCTTGGTGTCTGTTGGGGAATCCCGAGATCTCGGATTCACTTTTCCAGAGGGTGCAAACCAGAGCTAAAGAAGCCCCCTTGCAGACGTCAGCAGCTCCCTCCCCATTGAGGGATGGCAAGCATGCCCATCCCTGCACACAGACGATGCCAGCACTGCATCCCCCATCCCTGGTCCAGGGGCGCATGACTGCTTGGAAATGGGACGGTTTGCCTATAAAGCAAAGTTGGGAGTTTGTGGTGAAGGGGGTGCAGGGAAGTGCTTGAAAATGTGACTTAAGAGCACCAGAAAGGCTTTGAAACTTGGCAGCCACACTGAGGAGCACAAGGTCTGTATGATGAGATGAAGGGCACTGCACAGCCCTGTGCTACGTGCCCTGGCTCCCTGCTCCACACCAAGCTGTGCCTTCCTACCCGTTCCACAGACTGAGAGGAGTGGACATTGTCTGCAGGCCCTCCACCTACCTCAGGCAGGACAAACCCTTTCCTGGAAGCACAACAAACACCATCAACCTGGCAGGAGCTGCCTGTGCATGGCCACCCTGCACGACCTCATCTCACTCCTTCAGCTCCTTCCCAGGCTCGTCCCCACTGTCCCCCGCTGCCTTATCTCTCACTTGTTCACCCCTGCCAACAGTGCACCATCACCAGCCCTCATTACCCTGTCAGCATGGCCCTGGCTTCATCTCCCACCCTCTCCACCATGCAGATAGCCAGACCACCTGACAGTGGCTCTGTCTCTGCTCACTGCCTTCATGTTGCCTCCTTGGTCCCTCTTGCCCCACGCCTGCTCTCTCATTCCCCCAGCAAACCTTCATCTACTTTCCTGCTTCCCCACCAGCAGCAGTGGCTAACTGGGCAGGGAGTCCCTTGCTTCTGCCTGACCTTGAAATGCAGCCTGCAGGGGGACAGGGACCATGGGATAGCCCAAGCAGCTCAGCTCACTGTCTGATGTGAAGTGGGGATGCTCCAGCTCAGCACACAAGCCCTTGCATGCTGGAGCACAGCATGCCCGGCGCACCGCCTCGGCACGGCTCCATCCTCACCTCCGCACAGCTCCTGGCTGTGTGATGAAGCCTCATGTTCCCTCCTCCACCACTCTACCTCCGAGATGTCCCGCTCCTGCCAGGGCCAGGGGGTTATGACCAGGGTCCACCCCAGCTCCGGCAGGTCCGCACCGCCTCCTGCTGACCCCTACACCGCGATCTCATCCTCCAGGCTGTCGCCCAGGTCCTGCCTGGTCTGGACATGGAGCAGGCGCGGTGGCTCCTCCTGGGACCAGGAGTCGCGCTCCTCGCTCTCGTCCGTGTTGGACTCGTACTCGGAGGCAATGCCCGACTCGCGGAACTTGATGAGCTCCAGGCTGCCCAGCGCTGGCTCGGGGGCAGGTGGCCCTGAGTCAGGCAGGAAGCGGTAGCACTCCAGCTTCACCAGACAGTCGTTCCTACCTATGGGGCTGCCCATGGTGCTGGGGAAGCCTGAGCCAGAGACCAGTGGCGGTGGGTGGGTGTCCTCGGGCTGCGGGGTGGTTGGGTCGCAGAGGACAGGGAGGACGTTTGAGCGGAAGGTGATCTCCAGCAGGCTGTCCTGGGAGCCCGCTGCAAGAGAAGAGCATGACTGAGAGGCAGGCAGTGCCACCCCAGCTTGCCTGGGCGTACCCAGCCACCACAGCTGCCTGCAGACTGGCCAGAGTGGCCTGGGCCACTTGGGTGTCTGGTTCCCCACCACAATCATTCAGAGGGGCTCATTTGGTGTCACTGGTGCCAGGAGCTGCTGCCAGCCGACAAAGAGCCAGTTTTGCAGGATAAGAAGTTATGTCTCCCATCCAAGCCTCTGCAGAGAGCGCAAGGTCAAGGAGGGGCTCTTGAGCAGGTAAGTAGCTGGCCTAGAGCATGCAGCCACTGGGGAAAGCAGTCATACAGCTGACAGACATATGTGACCTGTCCATACAGTCCTCCCCAAGCCATTCCCACACTGCTTGCAAGCACTCTGCCACATGCAAACCAACCAGGCTGGAAAGGCACTAATATTCCCCTACACACTCACTGGTCAAGCACAAAACCCCAAGAGAAACACCCACATGCATGTCCTCCACAGACCTGGCTAGCTGTGAGGGGAGAGTAAGGGGCAGGAGTGCTTACTGGTGGTGTTCCCTGCTAGCTTCAGCTCCAGCTCCTGCACCTGTTTGACCAGGAGTGAGATGTGCTGCAGCAAGTCCTTGTTCTGGAGCAAGAGCTGGTGCACGCGAGCCTGGGCTTCCAGCCGCGCTGCTGCCTCTGCAGCCAGCTGGTCCTTCAGCAAGTGGACCTGTGTGACAGGAGAGAGCGGGTAAGCATGTGAATGATGCTGCTCAAGGGCTGAGTGTCAACTCCAGGCAGCCCTGCTCAGCCACCAGTGCGCACCAGCATCCCATGGAATGATCTGATGAA